AGCTAAAAAGAGAAAAAGGGAAAGCTAAGTTCTTCCCCCCACATTTCGTAGCCTGTACAGAAGGCAATGAGGTGGGAGGAGGGGGTTTGGCTTGGCCTTATTAACAGCATTCTTCTTGCCGTGGTGACATTGAGGCTCCCCTTTTCCACTTTTGCAAGGAATCCAGAGCAGTTGCATCGTCCTCATCTTCCTTTTAGTTCCACAGCAACCCTGCAAGGTTGGTTACACAGTGAGGCTATGACTGGCCCAGGGTCACCAGTGAGCTTCAGAGCTAAGTGGGGAGCATGACCTGCATCTCCCCAAGTCTCCATGCAACATTTTCACCATGGTACCAGGCTCACTCACTCAAAGGTGCAGTTGGGGTGCTTGGTTGGACTGAACGCGAGCTGTGCTGACTGGGACTGATGGGAAATTACAGCTTCCCTACTTCCCACTTCTACGAAGTTAAATTCTGAATACCATTAAACACTGCGGTTAAGCAAAGCGAAGCCTTGCATGTGAAGAAATGTCCCTTTGATTTCCTCTCTGAAATGCTTGTCATTGATTTTTCACTTTCATAAAGGGCATTTGATCTGAGCATGTGATGGATAAATGCCCTTCCTTTTATTTCATGGTTCCCAATGATGCCCTTCAGGATTATCTCTACCAACCAAGAGCCAAAGCTCTCTGGGCAGTTCACCATGTACACTAAAATGCACTATAAAAGACAGAAAACAAAAATGCACTACAGAATTAAAAGCCAATTTGAAAAAAAAGCTACTTTTATTATCACGAATTAAATCACACAAGCCATTAAGCAGCAGTCATAATGCCCTGATATAATATTGCAGTTAATTAAATGCTTCTCACTGTTCAGGGGACTTGAGGGAAACTTGAAAGAATAGGGTCAAAATAGAAGAATCTAGAACTCAATGAAGTGGGGTATATATTACCCATCCCCTTGCTAATGGTAGATATTAAATGCATTATTATGTTTTGTCATTTTTATGGGAAATAGGGTTCAACCCACCTTAGAATTGTAGGAGAAGGGTTTTTTCAACATTTCTATATTGAACTCCATTGTGGGTTATGACCAACTCATATTCATTAGAAAAAGCTTGGAAAAAGCTTCTGCATAAGCTTTCAGCAGTTCTTTGTCTCTACATAACTAGAGCAAGGACATACAGAACTTGGTGTAATTACCATTAAAGCTAAAGCTCTTAGATTAGGCCAGCTTTTTGGTCTAAAAGTCATTTTAAGCAGGTATTGGAATGCCTTCTGGTGTTGACTGAAGTTTTGGGTTCAAACGCATGGAAACAAAGATGCAACTGGATGTCACAAGCTTGGAATTCTCTTTTTTATCTCAAGGGTCTAACCTTTTTGATGCCTCTATCATTCACTCATATCCCTCTCTCCCAAAATATTGTATAGACCTGCAAAATATTAAAATGCAGGTAGCTGAGCAATGTTATATTTTCTTGCCTTGGGTTGGCATAAGGGAGTTCCTAAGAAGGATGGAGCATGTAGTTGCATTTTGTACCCATGGAATAAATCCTTTATGCAATCCACCTCATACCTGCTCTTTCTCTTCTTCCTCTGCCTTTGATGGATTCCTCAGAAGAGCTACTTACCCAATCATTTTCGTGACCTTGGGGGAGGGGGGGAACTGCTGTTAATAAGGCGCACCCTAAAATGGCAACATACTACTGTGGGCTGCTCTTTGACTCTTGCTTCTTTTAGGTGGATTTCTGGCTTGCAGCCCAAAATGGCTGGCTGTTGGGAGCCCCTGGTTAATATTCTAGTTTATTTACTGGTTGCCAGTTGAGTAAAGATTGCATAATGAGTTTAGAGAACCAAACAGGAATTACTGAACTGCTGAGCAACTTGCAGTGTTTGCTATCTCTTCCTGTCCTGTTGGTAGATTTCTGCTTTCTTTTATTATCTGGCACACCCTGAAGTCTGCCCAAAACAAGGAAGGCTTCTCATAAAGAGGATGATTCCCAGCAGTGTGCTGCCCTAAACTTGTATTTCCTTGACCACTCACTGCCATCTCTACCTGGAGGATAAGACTGGTTTTAAGGCCAGAGAATTTCAAGGGTAATTGTTTTAGGAGCTGTGTAGAGAGATCCCATCAACCTCAGTATGATTGCTGTTCTCCTGGTCTCCATCTTAGGTATGTAAAAAACACCTTAATATTCCTGTTATTTTCCTCCAGCTTTTTCTATAGTATTCCTTTCTACTTTCTTCTTTCCACTTTCCACTGGGTTAGGATCTTTGCTTTAATTTCATTGAGTAGAAGAACATCCTGCCAAGTTTTAAAGCTGGGTCTCTGCCCCACTCTCTCTCTGTATGTGTGCATGGATGAGCGTCATTACCTCAGGTCAAGGGCTAAAGTCAGATGATTGATGGAACCTTGCTACAGCTAAGCAGCAGGTGTGATTCTGGTCAGTGGTTTGAATGGATGGGATAGTTGTGTGATTCATTTTAACGTAGCTTCTCATGTTCCTATCACTGGTTGGGAGAATATTGGAGAACCCTCTTTGTACTGCCATGAGAAGACTGTAATAGATAAATAACCTCTGGATTGAAGATGCTTGGGGATGAATCTTTTAGTGGGTGAGATTTTACAGGGAGAATAAGGGACTTTCTTTTGCAGCCTTCTGATTTGTTCTCATGGCTTCATTGGTTTATTTTCTTACCAAGAACAATCCATTGCCTGGCAGAAAGCAACAATACATTGAAATGACTACTCACAAGAGTGACTGCAGCTGATTATTAAGGGAACAAAAAGCATGACCATAGAAGACTCACAGACTTTGGCAGACAACCATGGAGAAATTGAAATTGTGCAACATTGTACATGCCTTGGCTCAGTCATCAATTGAAAGTGAGACTTCAGTCATGGAATTCAAAGACGATTGAGACTTGGAAGGATAACAGTGAAGGAACTGGAAGAGTTGCTGGTGTAAAAGACGATTCACTGGTAACCAGTGGCAAGATCATTCACACAACATATTCCTGATTGTGATGTATGGGTGTGAAGCTGCGCAGTTAAGAAAGCTGATTGGAGCAAACTTGATATGTTCGAGACATGGTGCTGGAAGAGAGCTTCACAAATATGAGAAAGAAAGATGAACGCACATGTCCTAGATGGACAGACAGACAGATGAGCACCTAGGTCCTAGATCAAATCAACCCAGATCCTGGGCACATCATATGAAGGCAAGACTCTCAGTGAAGACCATCATGCCAGGGAAAATTGAAGGGAGAGGAAAAAGAATACCAAAGACGAGAAGGATGGACTCCATCAATGAGGCTCCAATCTACAAGAACTGAGCGGGTGTCATGATGCCGTAGCACTCGTCCAAATTACTCACACACATGCAGTCAATAAAAGTTTAAAGTCCTTTTATTCTAAACAACCACAAGATATACGGATGACGGATGATACAGGAGCTGCTGTGGATGGTACTAAGCAACACAGTTGCCCCTCCATTATGACCTCTCTGAGATTTACAACATAGATTTCACCCTCCTCGTCCGTCCGTCCCTCGCTCGGGGGGCTAGATAATCTTCTCTCCCTTCTTCTTCCACTATGCCTCTCTTCAAATGGGTCCAAGCATCGAAGTCCTCTCCTCAGCTGGGCATTCTCCATGGCAACAGACTGTTCAGTCTGATTCCCAGGAACTTGCACAAAAACTTCAGAGTCAGGTGGCGCGGTGGGGGGGGGTGTTTGTGCCATGGACACGAAGTCAAAAACTTCCTGCTCTAATGTCTGACCCTCACTGGAGGCTCCTGGCCCTCTTTCACATGCTAAAGACTTCTCCAAGTAATTAGGCACGACAGCGGGGCTCTCAAGGACAGGATATTTTGGAGGCTTCTCATTCACAGGGTTGCATCAGGGACAATGTGATGGCACTGAACAGCAATAAAACATCCATTAAGGAGGGAAAGACAATAGATGCAAAGGGCCTTTTCATGGGTCGTGCTCAGAGCTATTTCGAAAGGAACCAGCAGCACAATCCTATGTGTTTCTACATGGAAACCAGTTCACAACATTCCGTAGGGCTTGGTTCCAGGGAAGTAGGTATAGGAGTGGTGACTGGCCACTTCCAGCTTCTAGCACTTGTTAACAAAGTATCCTCCTTCCCATTCCATTCTTTCTTCCAGATCTGTTGGCAGCAGGGGCAGCATCTAAGAACCTCACAGCTGTACATCAACCACAATCATCTGCAGGTAATGTCCCAAGTTCTCTCCAGTGAGCATTGTCACGCTCCTCCTTTTCATTGTTGTTGCTAGGATTACATGAGGACAAGGCTGACATCTCTAGAGCATGATTCTTGTCTTCTGAAAAACACTGAAAGCAGTCATCCTTAACCTGGTATCCAGCAGATGTTTTGGACTACAGGACCCTGCTTCCCCAAACATTGCCCATGCTGACTGGGGCTGATGAAAGCTGGAGTCCAAAGCATCGGGAGGGGCTTGAGTTGAGGGCTTCTGCTCTGGGACCAATCTCATGCAATCTTAGGAAGGAAAGCAATCCCCCTCTTCCCAGCATGGCTGGCTAGTGAATGCTGGAGTTGTAGGATATTTGTTCTGCATAGGATTGTGCCCTTAAGGGTGAGCAGAGCAGTCTTAAGGCCTCCAGAAAGTATCCATTCGGCCATGGGATTTTGGGGAGTGTCATCTCTAAGGCTGAAGAGCAGTTCCAACCTCAGACCACTGGGAGTGTCACTCCCACCCCTCATAGTCAGCATGTGGGAAGAATCGTGCTGGGTGCATCTCCAAGTTTATAACAACAGCCTCAGAGAAGGGAGAAAGAGGACATCCTGGCTTAGGTAAGAAATGTTTGGCAGCATCCCAGCTTCCTTCCCTCCATGTCCAAATCATCCATGGTCCAAACCCACCATGCTATTCTTATTTGCCTCCTCACCATCGTCGGATGCCCGAATATCTAAGCTAGACACTTGCAGTCACCTCCACTTGGTTCTTTGAGGGCCACTATGCAGGGAACCCTCATTCTTGAACATAGGAAGCCAGGACATTGAGGCCAGATGATTTCTCTCTCTCAGCCAGTGTTGTCTACTTTGATTAGTGTTAAGCTTGGGAGAGGCAGGTTCTAGCCCACATTCAGAAATAAAGATTAAGGAGTGGTTTTGGGCCTGCCTTGTCCCTTAGCCCAACCTGCCTCAATGTAAGATGGAGAAAGGCTGGATTCTGTAAGCTGCCTTGAAGGAAAATTGTCAGATTATAAGAAAATAAACTTTTAAGATGCATACTATTCCTGGACATTGGGCAGGTAGGCGAGGGATGATGGACTTGAAGTTCCAAACAACTGGAGGGCTCCAAGTTGCAGAAGTCTGATTCACACAATCCTTTCTGGTAGGGCTCCAAGCAGGCCTCCCAGCAGTTATCCAAACAATGTGAGGGATGTGGGAATGTAGGCAGGCTGGACACCCTGTGCCCTTATGGACCTGTGCCTCAAAGAAGTGCACCTGAGTCTTGCTTCCTTCTTGACATTCTAGCTTACTACAGGCAGGGGGAGCTTACTGCAAAAATGCAGCCTTCTCCAGAGGTATCCTGAAGTACTGCGGTCCGGAGGCACAAAGACGCCTCCTTTCAGTGTGGTTTCTGCAATGACCCTGAGCTCCCAAGAACTTATTTTACACTGCTTTCCTATCTCAGGGCAGTTTTCTGGTGTGGATTGGAAATCCACTCTCTTGCTTCTTCTCTGCTTTTATTCCAGGTGCTCTAGACGCCCCCAAACTTATCACTGAGCCCAAATATCCTGAATATTTTGAAGGCGAGAGGGTTAAATTCACATGCACTGCTCCGGGAAAGCAGATGGTGGTGGGATACAGATTTTTCAAACAGGATGTGCAGGAGGTCTGCAAAGTGCTTGCTGACTATTCCCAAAAGGGCAGGTGGTCGTTCGAGGCTTCGATCAACAGCACTGGAAATTACAGCTGCAGTTATTGGATGGGGAAGGCCGGTGCAGAGGCCGTGTCAGCACGGAGTAACCCCTGCTCCTTACGAGTGACTGGTAAGTTTCTCTCTGCTGGGATGTTGGTGGTCCCTGTCTTCACAGAACCTTCCACAATGGTCTCTTTGGAAGACCTGCTTTCTTCTGCTATCTTCCACTAAGCAGGTGGGAACCTTGCTAAAAGTCCTCTTTACTCTTCAACCACAAAACCAAGATTATTTCTCTGTGCTGCCGGCCTCAGTGCTGCTGCTTCTCCTTTTTTCAGTATAAGTTCTGTAAGAAAATCAGTGGACTGCTGGATTCGGAAAAAGTATGTATGTATGTATGAATTTATTTTCTGTACTGCTATAGTTCCCTGGATAGTTGAAAGAAAGTAAAAGTATAAAAGCTATATTGTATAAAAAGCTTATTAAAGGTAAAAGTTTCCCCTCAATGTTAAATCCAGTCATGTCTGACTCTAGGGGGCGGTGCTCACCTCCGTTTCCTAGCCAAGGGAGCCAGCCTTTGTCTGCTGACAGTCTCCGTGGTCATGTGGCTGGCATGACTAAATGCCAAAGTGCACAGAACTCTTTTACCTGCCCACTGAAGTGGTACCTTTTTATCTACTTGCATTTGCATACTTTCGAACTGCATGGTTAACAGGAGCTGGGACCGAGCAATGGGAACTCACCCCATTGTGCAGATTCGAACCGATGACCTTTCGATCAACCAGCCCAGCAGCACAGCAGTTTAAACCACTGCACCACCTGCATCCCTAAAAGCTTATTGAACATTATTAAAAGTTTCAATATGCTATGTAAAACCACATATTAAACAGGGGAGATAACTTAAAGAAGAAGACGGTGATGTTTTGGAAAAGGTTTGACTTCCTTCTTGCCCGGACTGAGGATGCCAAACCTTCATTTCAATTTTCACACACAAACCAGCAAAGCATGACTTTCGTTCGGCCTTCACTTCGCAGCAGCAAGTTATTCTGACAAGGAATGAAAGTTACTGCAGATGAGAGCAAATTTTGGCCACAAGATGGCAGCAAAACCTATTTCATTCAGCCATATCTTTTGGACTGCTCCTTTTTAGAAGTCAACTGTCAAATTCTTTTCATTGGGATGAACTCAGATTCAATGTACAATCTGCCATCATCATCATCATAAGTAACAACACAACAACAATTAATTATAATTACTATCCTTCATTATTATGCATGTCATTTGCACACCATCCATGGCCAAACCTCTCAAAGCAGTTCACAAGAATTCATTTCTATACATGTTTAGCTAGAAAAAGTTCTACAGCTCCAAGCATGTCCATCCAGTCAGCATAAATTAGTGGTGACTGACCAAGAAAGAGGTCTTGGACTGGTGGTAGAAGGCTACATGGAAAGACCAACCCAGCATGCAGCTGTGGTGAATACAGACAAGTCCATGTTAGGAAAAAGTGGAATGAGAATTGGAAAGAAACCTGCCAATTCCATGCTGCCCTTAAATAAATCTATGATTTGGCCATCATTAGAATGGTGTGTACAGTTCTGGTCACTAAATGGACATGGTGGAGTGACAAAAAATTGCAGAAAACGGCAACTAAAATGATGAGGGCGGGGGGGGGGGGAGTCACAGCTCTTCTTCTGAATAATCTCATGCCCCAAGTCATAGTGAGAATAGTCTCATAGAAATTACCAGAAAGGGAATTACTCATGGCAGTATTTTGATTGATTTCAGTTAGTGTGTTCTACTGCTTTTTTCCATCAGTGGATTCATTTGGATCCAATTCAGTATGCACTAGAAATATGAATAATCTATGAACTTGGGGAAGCTTATTTCTGTGTATGGTCTTAAGGTCTTAAATGGAAAGGCAAATCTTTTTCCTCCAATGGAAATAGCAAATGCCTTAATATGCTTTCCAAAAGATAAATTTGGCTTTGAAATAATATCAGCTCAGACTGCAATCCAATGCATACTTGGCTCAGAGCAGGTCCCACTCAGTTCAGCAGAACTTCTTCCTAAATAAACACCCCAAGTGAGATTTTACCTCACTAGAAATGTGAGTTAGCCTACAAATGGTGTTTGTGCTATTCTCGACACAGCTTTGTGAATGGTCACTGCAGTGAATGGTCCTGTGAAATACTGTGTCTTTCTCTGGGCACCAAGAAAGGAGAAGAAAAATTAGGGAGGGTCCAGAGGAAGGCATCGACTGGAATATTGCGTTCATTTCTGGGCTCCACATTATAGGAAGGATATAGCAGGTTGAAATTGATGCAGGGCCGCAAGGATGGTGGCTGGATTGCAGGGAAAGCTGTATGAGGTGAGACTGAGGGAGCTGGGTCTTTTCAGCCTTGAGACAAGGAGACTCAGAGGGGACCTGTTAGCAACATATAGGTACAAGAGGGGGTGCCACACAGAGCTGGGAAGAAACCTGTTTTCCCCTGCAGAGGAGGGAAGGATGCATTCCAATGGAGCAAAGTTCAGGGAACAAAGGTTTGATTTGGATGCCAGGAAGTACTTCCTGGCAGGTAGGACCCCTAGGGTATGGAATGGGCTTCCACGGGAGGTGGTTGAAGCCCCATTGGTGAGGGTGTTCAAGAATAGTCTGGACATGCACATGGTAGGCTTCTCATGAGTGGAGCTGTCTTGAGTTGGGGGTCAAACTGGGAGGCCCCTCCCTCATTCTGTTTCTGTGTTTCTAAAAATGACTCACGGTTTCAAAACATGACCCTGTGAGGAGAGACAGAACTGGTCATGTCCGGCCTGGACATCCAAGGCTGTCATAAAGAGGAAGGGCATGATCTCTTTCTGCTTGTACGAGAGTGTAGGGGGTGGTATAACTAATTAAAGTTGAGATAACCCAGATACAGGCTAGATATCAGGAAAGTTTCAGGACCGTCAGAGCAATAGGACAGTGGAACAGTTGCCCAGAGAGGTGATGGGCTCTCCCACCCTAGACACATTCCAAAGGAAACTGGACAGTCATCTGAGTGGGATGGTGTAAACTGGTGTCCTGCAACAGGAGTTGGACCCGATGGCCTTCGTGGCCCCATCCAACTCTATTATTCCATGATTCTATGATTTGATATGTATTGAAGCTTTAATGTACTCCTCACAGACTGTACACCTTGCATTGTGTTTCCTTCTAAGCTCATGGCTGACCATTGTCTCCTTACAATTCCCATCATCCCTGACTATAGGCCATGTTAGCTAGGGCTAATGGCAGCTGTAGTCCCAAACATCTGGAGCGTACCGTGTTGGAAAAGACAATTGTACCTATTCACTGCACTTTCCTGCTAGGTGCATAATTAAAATCAGCCAAAGCAATTGACAATTCATGCCACAGTCACTGAGTTGGATGGGTTCTCAAGGGTCATTGTGCTCAACCTGTGCTCATGAAGGAAATCCACTATTGTTGCATGTCTGATAAGTGACTGCCCGACTCCAAGCACAGATACAATATACTGAAAGGCATGTGTAGGGCTACACGTATGGCTGGGAAGGAAGAAGTCTCCTTTTTCCCTTGGGAGTTAGGAGTACAGTCCAGCTCCCGGGCTCTTTTTCCAGAGAAAGGAAGAAATAGAAGCAATCCTTGGGAGCAGACACTCCTGTTGACCTGTGGAGACCTCTGGCTCTCAGCATCTTACATAGTCCAGATTCCAGAGTCTTCCTTCCAGATGGCGGAGCTTCTAGAAGACTCCAAGTTGTTGTATCAACATAGATATCTACCCAACTTAGAGGTCTCTTCCAAAAGGCTCTACTAGAGTGGTCATGTGTCCTCTTCCATGTAGAACAATCCTTTATTGGAAGATCTGCTAAAGCACCACCCTCTATTTGAAGGGCAGTCCTGTCCAGTTGGAGATAAAGAGTTACAGAAAAAGGTGAAGAGGGTCCTGAAATTACCCTGCGCCTGGATCCAGATTTACCCTGGATCAACTGCACTGAAAGGCATCTCCCCTTCCTTCACCCTGTGAACAATTCACCTTAAAATGGATATGTAATTCTCTCCTCCTGTGCAACCTTCTCACGCCTCTTCTGACATGCACACACACACACGGTTCATGACATGGATGTGCCATGCTTGCTGAGGCTGCACGGCATTAAGAAAATCTAACGTAGGGAATTTTCTCTTTCCAGACGCTCCAGCAGCTCCCTCCCTCTCTTTGAGCCCCCAGCAGTCTGACTACAGACTGGGAGAGTCAGTCAGTCTGGTGTGTTCTGCTCCACCTGAAAAGAGAGTTCAGGAATTCAAGTACTCTAATGAACTCATGACCACCTCAGCTCTGGTTTCTGGCAGCAGCAAATACATGTTGAATATGAGCATCCTGGAAGCAAAGCATGTGGGACATTTCAGGTGTGCCTATGTGGTGCAGCTTTCTGGACGAGATGCAATTTCTAAGCAGAGCAATGCTGTCTTTATTGATGGAACAGGTAAGCTCTGACATGCTTCTCACAACTTCTATGGAAATTTTATTTTTCCAACAGCAGTGAGCCAATTCTAATTCCCTCCCTCCCTCCCTTGTAAGCTCTTTCTGACAGTCAGGACCCCGAGGGTGTGGAATGGGCTTCCCCAGCAGGTGGTTGAGGACCCATCGGTGTGGGTGTTCAAGGATAGGCTGGACTTCCACATGGTGGGCATGTCGTGAGCGGAGCCAGCTTGTGCCGGAGGTCAGACTAGATGGCCCAGGAGACCCCTTCTGACTTGCTCTGTTTTCTATGTTTCTAATCCCCAAGTTTGGAAGTTAAGGTGCTGGAGCAAAGGTAATCTCTCAAGTTAACCCATCCCACAGGGGTGAGATAAGAATAGCAAAACTTACTGAAAAAGCCTGCAGTTAATTGATTAAAAGGCCATGTGTGAATCAAAGCAGAATCCGCCACTCTTATCTGATTCTGAATAAGCACACCTCAGTAAAAGGAAAAAGGATGTAGCAAATTTTTGTTATAACAAGTCATCAACAATGCTCTTCTCTCTTCCAATTTAGGTTTTCGATGGGCACGAATGTTGGCTGTTGGTGGGTCTTTCTTCATCATCAATGGCCTGATCTTCTTAATCTTCCACTTCCTTTAAGCCTTAAGGTAAGGGAGGTCTCCTGCAGTAGGAATCTGGGAACCCTGGATTTCATGGGTGCCACACCTTGGAATGGGTATGAGCCAGGTGTGGCCCAAGACATTTCTGTGGCTGAGCTAGAAAACAAAATGCTGTCATGGACACCACAGTCAGCACTGAGAGAGATCTGGTAGCAGTGAGTTAGCAGTATGGATTAATGCAGCACGTCCCACAGTGTCTGAGAATTTCAGGTCAGCTTTCAAGTGAATGGAAATAGCAGTTTCAGAATGTGCGGCTTGATTGTCATCTGATGTGGCTGATATGAAGTATATGCCTGCTGTTGTTTCATCTCTTCAAGAGGCTTATTTACTCCTAGAGCCAATTTGCAGGGCTGGTCTGGATGCTCAGACCTGAAAATCAGGGGATGGATTTGGTGGCCATCTAGATGTTTTGATGGACTCCAAGTCAGGTCAACAGTTGCTGTGATGGCAGTGGAGGTCTAGTTACATCTGGAAGGTTGCAGATTCTTCAAGCGGGACCTAAACAAGCAGAATATTTAAATATGGGGATTCAGGGAAGGGCAGTGGAGTGCAGGAGGGGGTATGGCCACCTCAGGAACCTGAGAAGAATCAGATTGGGACTGCAAGTGGACCAGTTCTAGCTACATGTCTGAGATTTGATGATCCTGATGTATCTTGGCAGCAGATTCTGCTGAGACACCGTGAAAGGACCCCCCAGAGCTTTCTAAACTGGTAGTTGGTAAACAGCTTTTGCAATCTGCTACGGAGAAATGGATAACTGAATGGTTGCAGCAAGCAAGCCCAAAATGTTTCAACAGTTGCCATGGGAAGTGGGAAATGCTCCATCTCTCATGTAGTGTCCCCTGGAAACCCATGGGAAGAACAAGGGGGATAAGAAGACAATCCGCTGTGAAACAAAACTCTTGGGTTCACTGAAGGTTGTTTGCATAACAACCAACCCCTTGTGGCTTGTCACTAGGTTGGGTTTCTGTGACATGCAAAGGTGGCCATTTTGTGCTGACAGCATCTCTTGGAATCAGCCTAATTCCCAGAGGAATCCAGCTCAATGTCAACACAAGGGTGGACATATAATCCACCCAAAGTGACTCAGCATGTGGAGATGAGTGTTTGGGTCATAGTTTTACTCCTCTGTCATGACTCAAGAAGGCTGGTAGTATTACTACTGTTGCAATTTTTAATTTCAGATGACTGTAAGAATCGTCTTATCTGATCCACTGCAGTTTACTCGGTCAACTACTTTTCTCTCAATTCATTAACTGTACAAACCAGCCTGTATGTTAGCTTTCCCAAGAAGCAACACTGAGAGGGGATATATGAATCTTAAAATAACAGAAAGGACTATGATGGAGAAACAATGTTCAGAAGCATGGCATCTTCTCTTAAGACTATTCTGATGACTTCTTGTCCATGGACCTTCTCAAATATTGTAATGGACTTCAATAAATAAATTTTCTGGTGTACCAAACATTTCACGAGGGGGGGGATGCTTGATTTTCCTGACCAGTAAGTCTATCACCAATCAGTTCTTTAAATAGAAAGCAGCATGTCCAATCAATTGGAAATCTCTGGAAAAATAGTAAAATCTCACCAGTCTCTCCCATCCCAATCTTTGAGAGGCCTGGAATCCAAAACGGATACTCTTCCTTGTAAAAGTCTCTCACACACCATTCTAGTTGTCCTTGATTAGCCCTTTCCTTTGTAGATCAATTTCACTAACTCAGGAACAGAAGAAAAGCCCTGCTGGATCAGACCCAATGTCCATCTCATCTGGGATGTCATACACACAGTAGTGAACCAGCTGCCCACAGGATCTCTCCAGCAGGATGAGTGCAAGACCTTCTCCTGCCCTTCTTCTCAGCAACTGCTGCATGCAGGCTTGACACTTCTGGTCAAGGAGGGAACACATGGCCAGCAAAGCTAGTAGCCACTGAAAGCCTCCCCCACCATGAATTTGTCCAATCCCTATTTAAAGTCATTCAGATGGGCAGCCACCACCACTTCCCATGACAATCCAGTGAAGCTTCTCTCAAATGTCAGACTCCAAACTCAAGAGGACTGTGAGTGGGAGGAAAGCGTGGGTGAATCTTCCATACCCCCCACCCTGTAAAGCTGATTTTCAACCACCTAAGCACTTTCAGGGGAGGCAAGAGGCTGAGGTCCCACCAGGAGACCCCAGATCTTGGAGATGCTGGCCACTCTTGGGGAAATCCAGAGTAAATCCTGGTAGGAAAGGGTTGCTTACAAGTGCCTTTGTGTTATAGAATCAAACCTGTGACCTTTTCTTAGAAAGTAGCAGAATTCCAAGTCAGGTTACTGTTTAGCATTGCTATTACTTTAGGAAGATAGCATTTTTTGCTGGACTGAGAAGCTGCTGTAGGCTAACACTATCAGTGGGGAAATACTGGTTTTCCCATCAGCTGCAGCCAAGACAAAGACATTCATTTGTTTCTGAATGGACCCATTTCATCAACTAGTTCCACAGATGCAAGTGTCAGGCAGTGTAGCTGTCAAACCAGTTTTCCTAAATGGTTCCTCAATCAGACATATTTGCATGTTTAAACAGACACAGGATTATCCCAACTGTAAAGAATTCACTGGATTGACTTGCCAATAAGGCTCAGTCAGGGAAATTTTCTCTTCTATTGTCACAGCATTTCTGACCTGTTTAGAGTATTGCTTTCATACAATCATAGAGTCATGGAATAGTGGGTGAAGACATCAAGATGCTATTAGAATCAGAGAAACAGAGTGAGGCAGAAGGTGCCTCCAGGGTCATCTGGTCTGACCCCTGGCTCCAGCCAGCTCCACTCATGACATGCCTACCATGTGCATGTCCAGTCTATCCTTAAACACCCTCACTGTTGGGGCTTCAACCACTTCCCATGGAAGCCCATTCCATACCTAGGTGTCCTAACCATCATGAAGTACTTCCTGGCATCCACCCTAAATCTTGGTTGCTAGAGCTTTGCTTCATTGGAACACATCCTGCCCTCCACTGCAGGGGGAAAAAGGTCATGACCCACCTCTGTGTGGCACCCCGTCTTGTACCTGTATGTTGCTAACAGGTCCCTTATGAGTCTCCTCCTCTCAAGGCTGAAAAGACCCAGTTTCCTCAGTCTCTCCTCATATGGGTTACCCTGCAAACCAGCCACCATCCTAGCCACTTCGCTCCACTATTATCTTAAAATTATCTGGAAACCTAATACTCTGTACATGATTGGAAGATCATAAAAATGTCTGTACATGGGCTGTGATTTTGTAGTCGATGGTGAGAACCACTACCAGAAAGCATGCTGTCGTAAGTAACTGCAGGGGGGCTGAGTGATCTTTCAAGAAACTGCTGAGGTTCAAGGCAAAAGGGGTCTTTCCCTACTGAACCCAGTTTTCCTGTCTCACGGCTGCTATCGAGGTGTCCCAACACCGTCCAACCACACACCCCCTGAAATGTCCCCAAAGCCCTTCTCTGGGCTCATTCTCACACCCTTGGAGTAGCAGCCAGCGAGGTTCTTTCAGTGCCAGCAAGGGCATTCGGAGCACAGACCCCAGCTACAAGGTCAGCCTGGCTGTCCAACTTCATTCCTGGGAATCTTAAAAATCCTATGACTGTCTAGACACTCTGTGGGACCAAGAGGGTTGCCCTTGCCCTGTCTTGAGCAAGGGAAGTGCTAGAAATGAACCCAAGCTTTTCTGAGGCTTGTTGGGGCAGGGGGCAGGGAAAGGAGGAAGGGAGCAAGAGAGAGAGAAAGCCAAGTTTCTTTTTTCACTCTGTAGAAGGTTTTCTGATTTTGAGTGAGTAGACTGAGCAATTATCTGTCTATCGCACTCCATTGTGCCAAAATAAATTCATGTATTTCTGAACTTACACTACATGTCTGCGCAATCTGGTGATTGTGTAATGGCAAATACAGGAGAGTAAAGAAAAAAAGCCCTGGGTGGGCAAAGGGGAAGCACTTTTAATGCTTATCCCACAAAGGAGCAGGATAAAGGCCTTGTAGAGAAGTCCTGACTGTCACAGTAGTTTCCATTAAATGGGAGTGTTTGGTAGACACACAAGAAGCAGTGAAGAAGGTTATGCAGCAATCTGCCTACTTGGTGCCACTTCCATCATCTCAGAAGCCTCCCCAACTCTGCTTCTCGAAAAGGGGTCAGGCTGCATCTTTTCAGCTTCACAACAACCCTGTGAGGTAGGTTAGCTTGCAAGTCTGTCACTGGCCCAAAATCTTCTAGTAAACTGCATAGCTGAGTGGGAACTAGAACTTCTGGTCGATTCCAGAAGGTAGTGCTGGGGAACTATGTCTCTGCGCCATGGCAGCTATGCCATGGAGTACCACAGGGCTCCATTCTATCCCCTTTGCTATTTAACATCTATATGAAACCGCTGGGAGAGGTCATCAGGAGGTGTGGGGTGCGGAATCATCAATACGCTGATGATACCCAGCTCTACCTCTCGTTTTCCACTAATCCAGGTGAGGCAGTGG